GCGGATGAAAGCGAAGGCAAGAGGAGGAGGAGGAGAGAGGATGAGCAAGCAGCAGGAGGCAGAAGCAGGAGGAGAGAAGAGAAGAGAAGAGGAGGTACCCACTGCTTCCCACAAACCCACTGCTCTCTCCAAAGTTATACCCTATGCCTCCATCTGACACAAGTAACGTACAAAAATTTCATTAACAACCTTAGAAACAACTTATCAGTGGATCTTACGTGCAATATTACTTTTACTGCAAATAAAGGTAATATATATTTATATATAACAAAAATTAAAATATGTTTCTTCAGGGTTTTTTGTAATTTTTAAAATATCTTTTTCTTTTCAACAATAAACCTACTGTTCATTTGTTTTTCAAGAGAGAATGTAAAACTTCAGAATGTACAGCACAATTTTACATGTTTTTACTTGTTTTCCACCCCCATCCATAACTTAATATGCTTTGCCAGTCATGCAGTGACTATGTGTCATACGGATGATGGTATATCAGAGCAATCCATTTTAAATCCTGTCTTTGAAACATCAGCTACTTCTGGTATCTGACTACTACAAACAAGTGGGTTTGGCAGTTTTTTCCACAAAAAATATATTGAGACAATACACCAGATCCACATTAATTCTGTAGCGGACAGAATACTTGATTCAGTTATATTGAGTGAAGAATATTTCCAAGGAAACAATCTCTGCATGCTGCAAATCTGCAGGCAGCTCTTACTCATACTTTTTTATCATCTTCTTCCAGCAGAAGCCAATCCTACCTGAGGTACTGAAGCTGCCTGATGTAGTTTTTCTCTGCCTGTTTTCTAGGTAGTGTAACAGATGAGACCACAAAGCAGACTTTCCCTAAAAAAAAAAAAATTTAAAGAAATCACTATCAGCTGAATATATAAAAAAAAGTTTAAGTCATCATTGAAAGGTATCAGCCATAACAAAAACTTGCTTTAAATATGTTTCTCCCTATAAAGTCATTGGTAAAAACCAAAAATGAGACACAAGTTGGAGGTGCTCAGGAGCTGTAAAGAGGTTGAGAAACAAAAGCAAGAGTCAAACTACTGGGATCTAATGATTCCGGTTACAGGAAAAAGTCAATTGAACTTAATTTCTCATAGCTTATTAACACGCCAAGAAAACATTTAAAGGCTTGTAAAACACCATGTGCGAGTAGAGTTCTATGTCTGAGGCCATAACCCGTATTATGTGTCTTTCCCTCCCTGCCTCTTCAGCAGCGAAGTGACAAGAGATACAGAGCCAGGTTGAGTAAACCACCTTATACTCAGACCAAGCCTTGTGCATCTGTTACTTTCAGGGTAATTCAGGGTCACAGATGCCTGCTGTCCCTTTTCAGAACCTCAAAAGATCCCCCTCAATTTCATCAGGCAATGGACTTGGATAATCACAAGCACAGTAAAAGACAACCTAAAACACAAGCAGGACAGTGAAAGCTTATCAGCAAGAATAATCCAGCTCTGCATATTTTAAAACCAACTTAAAAGTTAAAGTTTGGGTTGTAGTATTTAGGCCAAGATAAATCCGTCAAATGCTGTTAAAAGGTGCACCTTGCTCATTATGTTGCTTTCTTAAATCTCTGATGCCTTAAAGCAACGTGAGAAAATCTTTCACTGGCAAACTAAAAAGATTCTTGGATTCATCCTAAAATATTCTGCATGATAAATCAAAAGCTTGCAAAGCCACTGAAAGGGAGCAGTAATTGAATAGGGGCTCTCCGGCACATTAATTGAAGTTACTTACAGAAGAAATTAATTAGTATTACTTATCATCATTCTAAAATATTATATTAACTGGAAATCCCAGTAAAGACTTACTAAATCTGCATTTCAGAAAAGCAGTCATATTATAAAGCCGTATTTTTATTTGCAACTTTGTACAGAACAAAGCCATGACTGTAAAGCAACAGTTGTCAATTCAGCACTACCCATGTAATCTAAAATCATGTAAGTGCCTTCCTGGAGGTGCAGTAATTATGGCTCAACTCTGAATTTTATTTTTTTTTTAAATCTTTAAAAATCTCTAAACACTTCAATCCTGTAGCTCGCTACAGTTCACACAAAGAACTAACAGCCATGAGGTATTATTCCAGAAGTGGCATGCCTCCAGAAGATAAAGCCTAGAGCGTCTGTTACATCTGTGTTGAGAGAAATCTATTAAAAATATGCATTAGGTGGTGAAGATATAAAAAAATCCAGAGAAGCTCTATGCCTCATGTGTGTACCTGACAGATCCAACATGGAAAGCCAAAATTGCAAGTCTTATAAAAACATAAAAAGAGAGCATGAAAACTATCAACCAGGGAACAGTTACATCCAAAATGGCATTTCTCTCAATAAACACACACATGCACACATAGCCTAGTGTTCAGCAACTAGCTGCCACGGCAAGGAGAACTGCAACAGATCACATAAAGCAGCAAACAAAGGATCCTGCAGCAAATAGATGTCAACAATCATGATGAATGTAAGAACTCATGCAGTATATATCTGCCCACTTCCTTTACCGTCATGTTAACTCTCCTTTAATTTCACCAAATAGCAATGATGATGCAAGCTGTATCTATAAGGGAAAGGAAGACAGCCTAAGGAAAGCATTGGGACAGAGAACGGGCAAGGGAATAATCAGGGCCTTTTGAAAGTTCAGACTACTTCAGTCATTAGACCCTACATCCAACAACTCTCCTGCATTGCTCTGGGCAAAGGCAAGCATGGATTCACATTGCACATGGAAGACTCGGTAGGCAGCTAATGTAGGACTATCAGGGTTCATCAGCAGGGAAGAGGTAAAAGCAGGGATTGGTGGAAGGAAAGCCATCCTCATTACTACAGTCAATTGAGAAAGAAGAGTCTTCCTTAGCTCATTATTGAAAAATCAAATAAAATCAATGTATAAACCAGCAAGCTTTTCCATATTTAATAAAGGCCAGAGCACACAGAGAATTAGTGGTGCGCTTTTTTTTTTTAAACTGTGGATCATAATAAGATATGCACTGCACTTCCTCCATCAGGCCTCTATTATATTCCACCATTCTATTTATTCCACCATTCAGCACTGTTTGCCAACATCTGCAATCAATCCAAAGCATTAACCTTATGTAGGGTTGGCCGTCTGGTGGTCTGAAAGGCCCAAATCTGAGTTGAAGCAGAGTATACTGATGCTCTGTCTTCTAAGACGAAAGCAGTACAGCTTCTATCCTAAGTGATATACAAGAGGGAAGGGAGAGAATCACATGATAAATCTTCACATAGAGAACTGCTGTATAGTTTGAAGGAGAGCAGATTTAAACACTGGCACTTGGGTGCTGGGAACAGAGATACTGAGTTACAGTTGCCTGGATTATGTACATTTATTCTGTACATTCTTTTAAAAAAAAGTTATAAACCTCACAGTCCTTACTATTCCTTTGTACAAAGGAGGAAGAAAGGATAAAGGCATTCCAAACTCCATCTAGTCCCACAAGTGACTCCAAACAGAAGAGCACAACAAACAATTATTCATTTCATATGAATAACAACACCTCTAACTAGTGATCTTGTAAATGTCACTTAACTATCCCTACAGCATTCAGGAAGAACCAAAATAACAAGGGGTTTACTCTTAAAAACTGAATTATCCTTCATGAAAACAAATTCCCCATACTGTATCCCATTGACAGCACCTTTAGTATATGCTGCCTTATAGCCTATACAACTTCAGTAACAGAAGTATTAAGAACATAAAAATAGTTTTATTTACCATCCTATTAAGAAAACACCAAAACCAACAAACCAAACCAAAGCCCCCAGTTCAATGGAAAGAAAGTCTTCCAAGAACTCATCTGTGGAACACATCTACACATGCACTTGCACATGCCCCAGAGCAATAAGTGGAGACAGACAAGGGGGCAGTAACTGACATAAAGTCTAGGGGACACACACAAGTATTTTAACAAGTCTATATACACACAAAAGGTCTCCTCTGAAAGCAGAGGGAGGAAGAGCATAACATGACTTTAGGAAAGCGCACTCTGCAACATACAGGAATATTTGTTCCTCACCTGTTTGACTTGCAGACCATGGCTCCATATCCTTTCTAAGAGGTCACACAGACTGGCTATCAGGGTATTCTCTTCTACACCTGTGATATTCACTTCACCATGACCTAGCTCCACAGCTTCTCGACCCATTTTTTCAACCAACATCCTCTTGGTCTCAAAAAGGCAAAAGAGAGTTAATTGTTTCCACAGGAACTTCCAAGATCACTTACACTTTTTAAATAACCAACAAGGAAGCACACGATAGCAAAGATTTGGCAGAATAACTGGGAGTACGCAGTATTTCTGAAGCTACTGCAGGACTGCATTTCTTTTATCCCTGTTTTTCAAGCCATGGCAGCACCAGGATTGATCACTTTAATGGCACATAAGCCTTCACAGAGTAAGCCCAAAGGGCCCAGCAGGCCACATATCGACAAGCTGGAGGCCGAGCAGCAAGACCCTGCAACACAGGTCTTGGGTGTTTTTGAAGCCTGGCAAGTGCTGGAGTGGGAGCAGTATGCTAGGTCCACCTCCTCCTAGAGGAGGTGAATGTGCACAAGTGCTTCCAAGTAGCAGGGTCATTCTTGTGAGACCCTGTCCTGTCAGGAGGGTATTTGTGTTTAAACCAAACCCATTCTGGGGTGCATCTCTTTAGTTTCCCCAAGGAGCCACGTTCTCCTGAACTGTGCACAATGTCATACTGGTAACAAAGCTCTGAACTAACTATTCAAGGACAGTCTCCCAGTCACAGTATATTCATCATATAGCTATGTGGAGGGAAAAATTACTAGAGAATCACTTCTTCTCATTTCTTACACGTTTTTTCATCTTTGTTGCTATTCTAGAGTAGCTCTCAAATGAGTAACACTCCCTTAAGCACCTATGCAGAGTCTTAGTCAAGACAAAGAACTCTAAGTTAGCCTCTAGCCTCTTCTCCTCCTCACCTCCCCTTGTAATTTCTCTCTCTGCTAACGGCAGGCTCACTACATTCCCCAGAGTTGCATTCCCACAGAGAAAGAGTCAAGTCTATCTTCAAGGATTTTCACTGTCATATGCCTCCATTAAGTGAAGGGGGTAATTTGGACAGTTTCACACATACAGAAAACTAAAGTGAAATCAGAAGTAGATGCATGTATTAAACATGGTTTTACAAAAAGTTGTATACAATTGCTTTATTACCACCACTGACTTAAGGCAAGAACGTGTCCATTTGATAATTATTCTCTTTACTGTGTTAGTATAAACATTAACATTTAATTCAGATGAATGTATTGTCAAATATATACTGGTGATGCATATCTGCAAACTAATGCCAAATTTCTTCATTAAGTGCTTGAAAACTAATGTTTCACAAGTTTGTTAATCCACTTCTTTTATTTATAAGAAAAGCACCTTCATTTTCACAACCTCCTCTTTTGGAACGTTCAATCTTGTTGAAATAGTATAGTCTCAATAGAGATAACTGAAATAAGCTGTAACAGAAACAGGGAGTAGGATGATAAAGACCCATCAGAATATTCAATCTTTCAGTTTTACATTCTCTATCATATATCTGCTTGATAAAGTTTCCACTCCTTGCAGAATTTCGAAATACATTATCTCTTCACAAATTTCTCACTACTGTGCAAAAATCTTTATATGGATAAATCAGAAGCAGACAGTGGAAGAGGGGAGTGTTCAAACATATTAGCCAAGAAATGGTCCATAAAGGATGGATATGAGATGCAAGAAAACAGAAATATTCTCTGTATTACCTTATTTCGGCACTCCTTCAACAAGCCTTCTACAAACTTCCAGTTTGTTTGCGCAATTACTGATGGCGAGAGGTTAGACAGTTTGGGCTGCCGAATAGTGCTGCCCAGATTCCTGGCTTCTTGGATATACTTCTGTATTGGGGTAGAAAATTGAGAAATACAGATAAAAGTGCAAGTGAGACTACTCTGCCAAGAGAAAAGGATAAAATTATCTTTAAAACCCACCCCTGTGCAATGAGGAGGAAAGCATCCAGCATTATACTGGGCTGAGACACTTAAGGTACTATTCCATTGGAGGTAAAATCCCCATTTACATTGTCTATCTAGTATTAGAACACACATTGCTGAATAACAAAACCACAATACGAACTGCCAAGGATATTTAGATGCATAGAGATTAAATTGCTCCCTCCACCACTGAGAATTGTCTTGTTATTTTTTCATATAAAATGAAAGTTTGTAATAGTTACCCAGACCAAGACTATTCAAAGGGCAGGCTGGTCTACATGGGGACTGCAAGAAAACTTTGCCTGGATCTTGACAACATCTGAGACCTGTGCTACGCCCTGCATTCCTGCAGATCTTCTGTTTCTTACCCACCCTCACAGTCTTTCAGGAAGCAGCTGCAAAATGCTACTAACAGCTCTCAGCTGTGAGCCATCTGTATTTTTGAGCAAAAAAATTTCCTGAACTCACTGTACTTGAAAGAGCTTTTCTGCTCCTGTTACTGCCATCAAGGAGTTGCCATTGTTTTCACCTCAGAGACAAGAATAATTTGACAAATGTTTTGAAAGACAGGTGATCACAGACTGCCTGGGGCACAGCTAACTGTGAATAAGTGATAAAGAGAAAGTCCTGCACAGGCACTGACTGAATACTCAAGATTAGTACATATTTCAGACTAAGAGGTAACTTCTCTAGCTTACACTGAAATAATGACCAACTGAAAATTCAGTGAATAGACAGATTTATCAAACATGATATGATCTTTGCAAAGAGGGAAAACCACACCTTCTCCATCAGCCTTGCACTGAAGAGCTACGATATATACACTTAATTATGCATCTTTATCCAGAACTATGATTACAGTCATATTGTGCATTGGACATACCAGATAACGCTCTGACACAGATTTTATAGAGGGCATGAAGGGCCAATCATGCTGGTCCCAGTCTAAACATAACTGCAACTGAAGCTCTGACATGGAAAAGTCCAGGTGCTGGCAGGACAAGTTGGTAGCAAAAAGCCAAGCAGACCATGTAAAGCAAAAGTGGTAAGCACATATGAAGTAATAAAAGCAAGCATGCAAAACAAAAGGAAAAGAGTGAATGCATCACACAGTGCAGAACTCCCAAGCATTCAACATAAAAATAAATTCATAAGTAATGAAGCTGAAAGGAAAAAAGAAAAGATGGTGTTCAATCACTGAATTGGTGTGAACTCTGCCCTCCACTGGCACAAATATTTGCAAGTTAAAAGCCACTAAGTCTCAATTCCATGGATTTTTGCTGGCTGCCCCAAAGCTTCAATTTGTCTAAAACTCACAACACTGCAGTTTGAAACCACTGCCTCCTGCTCAGCCTCATCCCCAGAGTTCATCTCAGAAGGGCTCTCTCCCCATTCTTTCAGACTTAATAGGAAAGTCTCTGGTTCACCTGGGAGAGGGGTTCAACATTCAATCAGCACTATGTAATCACCAAGGTACAGCATAAAACCCTGAAACACCAGCACAGATTAACCTGGCAGTTCATACCTTCACCTCTACATGTATTTGTAATTTTTATTCCTCAGAAATTATTTGCCTTGTGTGACAAGAACTCCTTTAGGATAATCAAAATGTGAAGAGTCACTTAAAAAACAAATCAAACAAAAAAACCCCAGAGACTAGAGGTGGATTTTTGCATTTGTAATTACCTAATTAAAATCTCAGAAGTTTACATGTGCTAAACATTGTAATTGTTAAAAGCAATAATGAGGTTACAAATCAACTATTCTTCACTGCTGTTACTTCTAAGTAAAAAGCACTTAGAGTTATCTGAGCATATGGAACATGTTAAAGCCAGAAATTACTCATAGCTTTTTTATTACGCAGACATTCTTCTGTTACATGGTTATGGATGACATAGATGACACTATACTTCAATAAAATTTTAACAAACCAATGAGAAAATTCTGGAAACGAGTACACTGGAAAGGTATTAAACTCATCACTACCATAAAAGAATGAACTGGACAAAGATATTTGATTTTGACAAAACTATCCTAACAGACACAAGACTACTTTAAAATTCCAAATGAAGCTTTTCTGAAGGTATTTAACAAGGCAAGAGAATATTGTCTTCAATGAAGAACATACATTTAAACAAAAGTAAAGCTCTGAGGTTACTAAACAAAAAAATGAATTCTGTTATTTTAAACCAGATTATTCTTGGAATTACCCACAAATCAACACCCGGTCTAACAGTTTGCAGCCTGTATCCTATGAATCAGAAACTCTGCTGTAATTAGTTCACATCACCCAGATCTTTCAAAATTCCTTCACCACAAAGAACGACTGTCAGCTGTAGAAGCACCAGTGAAAGAAATTATCCATTCAGAAGGTGGGTACATCAGCCTCAGACTGTGCTGTGTAAAAACAGGCAGACACAAACCTGACAGTCTGGGTGGGGTTCACATTCCCACCTTAGCATGAGGTTGTGTGTCAGTTTGCCACCTTAAGACTTCTTTTATGGTCTACAGAAGAAAAACAGGCAACTCCAAAAGGCAATGCTTCTGATTTTAGGACTAAATTAATCACTCTCTGGAGGTGGTTATCTTTCCTCCATCAAATACACAAAAGAAGCATAGGACATATATAGAATTAGAGACAGGAAATAGATGGCTAAAAACTGCTAAGATTAATTCCTCCCTTCCCCCACAATCCTTCTGGGTTTGGTTTTTTTTTAAAGTGTGTGATGACATTTTCAGGGAACTCTCCTATACGTGGAATGAAATAATTTTGTCCTGAGAATGGTTAAAAATGGTATAACTTTTAGAATAAGCAAACTAAGTATTTTCGGCCTGCTAAGGACCAGGAATTTCATTGGTATGAAATACAAATAAGGGACAGCAGAGATGGGCTGCAAGTAACTGTCTAGACATTTCATAAAAGTTACAGAGCATTATTCAGGCAATTAGGGGAAAAAAAAAATAAATCTGATCTCTAAAGCTGAACAGTTTTCACCTCTCTCTGATCGTTGTCAAGACGCAAGTGCTCTGTGTGTTGCTTCTGCCTGTCCTTCCGCCTCCACTGTGCAGGAGCATTTCTCTTCGTCCACCTACAGACAGAAGAATATTGTTAAGCAAATGTCAAGAGTTAGGTAAAGGAGAGCAGCAATGACAGAATAAAAAGTTTCTATCTTATTGTATATTGAATACATGGACATCAATTACATCAGACAAAGTGCAGCTGCAAATGCACACAAAGAATCCCTGTGAAGAATCCAACATTGGGCAACCAAAGGATTTCAGAAAATTAGATCACATACACTTGTTTTGTATTTTTCCATTCTTTTATAATATCCAGCCACAATTTACACCTTTTTCCTCTTCCTTCAAAGTTTTTATAAGAAGATATCCTAAAATATTTGCTAGCTCTTAACTGAGAGCCAATAAGGAGATCTGCTTTTATATCAACAGTAATTATGCATAACTCAAAGTGCATCAACTATAACCTCAAACATAATAGGGCTTCCTTAAGTCAATTTGCTTTTGGAACTTAACAAAAAAAAAAAAAAAAAGGAGAAAGAAAACAAAAAAAGAAAAAACCACAAGAGACAAAAAATCCCACCACATACAACCCACCCACATCATCTGATTTGTTCTCACTTTAAAAAAAAAAAAAAAAAAAGATACTGAATAAGCTTTCTAGTATCTCTGCTTTAGTACCATTCCATAGATCTTGCCAAGATCCAGCACCTGTTGTCCCCGCTTACTCACTTGTTACTTGCTGGTCCAGTGGATAAAACATCAGACTGAAGCTTGGGGAAAAATCCAAGCTCGTATTTCCCTTGTCCAATTTTCATGTCCAGCAAGTGTGGGTGAACTGCAGTGTGATCTATTTTTGCTAGCCTTAATTCAATAGATTTCTCTGAAATAGTAAGAAAGTTAATTTTTTAAAAGGTGTCTTGATCAGACATGTATCTGTAATCACACATCCTCAACTAAAAGTGGATCTCAAATTTAAGAGGTGGAAATTTCTTAATGAACCCAACATATACACTAGTACAAGAGTTTATTAAGTATCAAAGAACCAATATCAAAAGAAGAAAAATGTTTATCTTCATAAGCGCAAACATTTTTCACACAAAGCATGGAGGAAAACAGTTGAGTTAAATTAATCTTTACATGAATTTCATCTTACATCTCAGCTTCTTATGTAACATGTAGTTCCCCACTTAAGCTTTACACCTCAGCTTTTTTTTGTCTTTTTTTTGTCTTTTTTTTTTTCCTGAGTTTTCAAAGCATGAATTGTTACTTAACTTTAACCTAATGTCTACAAACAGCATTGACTAGTTGTATTTTCTTAAGTGTCAAGAAAGTGGCTTATTACTCTTACCAGCCTCATCAATGGTTGTGCACTTTTGATACATAGATGTGCGCAGAGTTGGCGTCCTAACATTTAGCAGCCTAATTTTATCCACTCTAGAATCAAACACTCTCAAAACAGGGTCTTTATCATCTTCATCGTGGCACATAATCTTATTGTCAATAAAAGATGCAAACATTTGAGTCTCCAGGAATCTCGAGAGGAAAGGCAAGTAAGGTTCAGGCTGGTCCGACAAGAAAGATGCCTAACAGACAAGAACAGATAAGAGTGTTTGGGAGTTTACAGAGAGAAATAAATCTACCAAAAGCACCAACTTTCTAATCAAGGATCTATTAGAGTGCTTTGGTGCCACTTAAAGTTGAGAGGCATTGTTTCATGTTGGGTGTTTTTTGTTTGCTTGGGTTTTTTTGTGGTGGGTTTTTTTTTTTGGTTTTTTGTTTGGTTGGTTGTTTTTTTGTTGTGGTTTTGGGGTTTTTGGAGTTTGTTTGGGGGGTTTGGGGGGTGTGTGGTTTTTTGTTTTGGGGAGGTTTTGTTGGTTTGGGGTTTTTGGGTTTTTTTTTTTGGGTTGGGGGTTTTTTTTGGGTGGTTTTTTTTTTTTTTTTTACATACACCAATTCTATCTCTGAAACAGGCAGTCTATATGAAATCTTCAGTTTTATGACAATCACCTACTATATAGCACAATAATTACTAAACTGTGATTTTAGCATTTCTTTAATTTTCTAAATATTTTAACAGAATCCCAGCAAACCACAACAGTACAGCAGGTGTGGGTATTACGTACTTCTAGCTGGGCTCAAAGCTTAGGAAGTTGATCAGAATCTTTTCATATGATTTGAATCAGAGTAGTGTTCTAGCAGGCAGTGCTGCAACATAATCTTCACCCATGTGAACTATCCTGCTGACAAATATCTGATCTCCAGTATAGAAGACAGTAGTAAAATTTGAAGAACTGGGTCTTGTGTTTCCCTAGAAAAGAGCTAGAGATACATTTGGTACACACATACATAGGCGTTGTGTGGGATCACAGCTTTATCCATTAACATATTCAGCAATTCCTCTGATTAAGAAAAATAAAATAAAATCAGTAATTTTCACTAGTAATATTTAACCTTAATGTAGAAGTTAGCCATAAAGTGAGGTTTCCTGAGCTATTTTTCCTACAGCAAGCTGTATTTTTCTACAGTATCCTTAAAAGAGTATCTTTATCTCTCTAAGTGTGTATATGTATATATTTTTTCCACATAATATACAAGATGTGACTTTTTTGGGGGACATTGAAATTTAAGGAAGAAATTACAGTTTTGACTGTACTATTTTCCATTTTATGGCCCAATAAAGAAAGTTTTAGGTTTGAATACTGTTTTACTTTTCATATTGACATATCTTCTTATTACAACTTACTTTATCAAAGTTTTGCATCTGTTCCCTGTTTGTAAACCAAGATTCCTTGTCCTGACTGGGTTGAATGACAAATACTTCATAATCTGCAAACATTTGTGTAAACCGGTTGGCAAAAACTTCACGGATTTGAATGTTCAGCTGGTAAATCTTGAATTCCTCTTCATCACACTGAATTTTAAGATCCTTTTTGCTACTGGTCTCCTCTCGCACCTCCAACTGAGAAAGTAAGGGAACACACAAAAAAAATTGTACTGTTGCTTTGTCAAGTATTCTAGGTATACAAGATCTTAACCTGTCATTCAGCTGCTACTCCTCAAGTAAACATTCCAACTAAAAAAAAAAATTAGTTAGTTTCAAACACTGTAATAAAACAGCAACATCAAAAAACCTAGAAAGAAACCTTTGTCTATAAGATTTCAATAACAAACCATAATCTACTTTAGTACTAGTTGCATTGGATATGCATTAGATTAAAAAAGGATAAATAACAACCATATACGTGCCCACATATCATACACTTAATTTACTTTCTTTTACCCTTTAATCACCTGCATAAGCTTTTTAAGGGTTTTTACTACCCCTGCATATTAGGCAAATACATATTTCTGCCTGGTGTAATACAAGTCCAGGTTTAGTACTGTTACAGTTCAAATCATACCAGTTTTCAAATGAAGACACAAACACACAGTAAAGAGGTGCGCACATCTAGTAGCCAATTTCCTTTAACTTAAGTCCTTAGCAGTGTAATGCCCAATTCATCGCTACATGCCCCAGAGTAATCTTTAATGAAATACAAAAAAAAAAAATCAAAGCTACAAGCATTCATGCACTATTTTGAATACACATTTGTTACCCCTGCCTTTGTTAATTATTATAAGAGGCATTGCCACACATAATTAGACATAATATCTAGAGCTTACAACATCTGCACAATAATGCAGTTGCTGCAGCTGTCCCATGCATCTTAAGGCACCTTGGTTACAGCAATCCAAGGCCAGATATAAATAGCATCCTACAGCCATGCTCTCTGCTAGAGAGAGCTCTCCTATTCAGCCATTTCTAACTGCATCCCACAAGTAGCACTTAGAATCTACACATTCTCCATTAATTGCGTATTTGGTATTAAGCAGGTTTTTAAAATTATTAAAGTATTTGAGAAAATTTTGACATTTATGACCTATACACTCCTATCATCACAAAAAAGGCCAATAAAGTGGTACTTCAACTACTATGGAAGAGAGCACAGAGTAGATAAAGCCTAAAAGTTCAAAAACTTAAAGAAATTTTAAAAATACCTGTGCTTCTCCCATCACTTCCCAATCCATTCAGCAAAAGAACAAAAGCTTCTTACCAATTTTCCCCTGAACAAGAAGAAAATAATGCAAAAAAAAAAAAAAACAGCCCTAAACAAACCTGAGACGAGGAACACAGCAGATTTGAGGATCTAATCCTGTCTAGTAACCAAACATTTCTTGTAACCCGCTGCAGCTCCCTCCCCACCCTACTGTAGGTCACACAATTTCTCTTTGGCCCCACCAGTTGCCCAAGTTACAGTCACACAGGTAGGAATCAGACTCAGCAATGAAGAACTGTTCAAGATAATTTAAACATGCAAGAAATAAAACCTTTGCTCAGAAAATCTTCATTCCATTCCACAAAGGTTCAAAAAACCCACAGTACTCTTTCAGGTAATACATTTTCTGCAAAAAGAGGAACAACTTTTTTTCCCAATTCTGATCACCCAAAAAAATCCAACCAGGGTTCCCACAGGCTGTGCACATTCACTTGCTGGGAATCAGACACTAATGCACTTTAAAACGTCAACCAGAAAAAAGCATCACAATATTGCTATGGCAAGCATATTATATACAAGCAAAATTATACATAGTCTACACACGATGAGAAAGAAAGATACCTATAGAAGCCAGGATTGGATTCCTACTTAAGGATTACCTGGATGTCAGTTTTAGCCACGTAAATCATAAAAAAGTAGTATAAATTTAGATTAAATCTGAAAACCAAGAATAAACAAGGCAACGTGTATTTTTAAACACATTACCTGGGCAAAGAAAGACTTGGGGGATAGCCAAGGGTTTCCCTAGATATTGTGAGGTTAAATCTCACTCCCCCAAGCTTGTCCTTGTCTCTACAGATGTTTACAAGGTTTGTGAACATATTAACATAAATTTCTTTCTAGTGAAGATAGACAAACAGTGTTTAGACCATGACTTCAGACCACCTGCTACTGCAATCAAGAGAGAGTGCAGATCATTTCATAGCTTACCTTCTCTAGACTCACACCAGTCCTTTTAACAAGTGCTTGGAGTCTTGCAATAGTCTCATTTTCCTTTAGCAGCTCATAGGAATTCAAAGGTGATCCTGCTATGTTCCCATTTCTTTTATCAGAAACCAGGTCACACGCTCTGAGGCTCTTCATCTTGGAGGCACTTTCACTGCAGTGAAGGTTTCCCTCAGGTGGAATTCCAAAAGCCATTAGTATCTCTGAAATTTCCTGAATGAACTCAAGTTTATTTGGGAACTGGGGTAAGTCTTCTGGCAGCTCGATGAAATGGTTGTCTATATCCACAAAGCACAGATTAGCCTGGGATTTAATTTAGAACAGGATACCATTACAATATCAATAAGCACACGAGTCACATTTTATTCATCTTTGGCGTCTGTGCTTATTAAAAGATTCAAATACATTTGCATTTGGTTATTTTGTAAAACAGACTTGCCCCAACCATAACTGAACTGGTTTGTTGGCTCTGAAGCATGCAGCATAAGGCTTATGTTTCCACGTCTTTCAAGGAGGTAACTCAGAAAGAAGACTCTGAAGTTGTTTACTAGGTACAAAAAAGATTGTAGCATCTATTAGGTACAGATGTGCAAATCTGTTCATACACATACAGCTAGATTTTAACTACAGGATATTTGCAACACTATTTTATACATGTGCATATGTAAGTAGGTGATTGCCTGTTACTCAGATTATCAGTCCACTCCTCTAAGATATTGGGCAAATTCCATTCTAAAAGGTATACTAATATTGCAGAAGCTGCAATAAAGTAATAAAGTTATCATCTCTTTTTTGTAAGCAACTTGAGAACTACGGCAATTCCTTGAATGAGTTTAGAAGTTTGTTTCCAAGGGGAACTAGTTTCAATTCTGTTTTTCTGTTCCAATCTCTGTCTCATTTACCATCAACAGAGATGGGGCGGGGGCGGGGAACAAAGAAAGAAGAACCACCTATGTGGCTTCCACAGCAACATCAAAAGAAGCTACACATCTTACAAGGATTTACCTCAATCTATATTTGGCGATGGGGTGTTTCCCTTTTGGCTTCTGCATTGCAAAATCTGCAACAAATGGTTTCCTAACATTACATAAATACATACTTCACAGCAAGGACACAATTCATGTGTGAAATCTGCTCAGGAAGTTAAGTATACAGAAGAAACGTTGCTCTTATGTAGCAGCATTTCAGTTTTTCTTCACTGCAGATTTAACATGGACTGTCACTTAGCCTTCCCTATGTGGTGGGTTGACCCTGGCTGAGGG